TCCACCGTCCAAATCTTCCCAAAGTCCAATCTGCATAATATATGCAAACAACCACGTCATACTCTTTAATTCCAAAACTACCCCTCAAAACCTCGATATCCTCCTACCCTCGGCAATGTCAACGGATAAGTAATATCTACCAAAACCGAGGGTAACAATTCATCGAAAACGACCCTACTTTGGACTTCTTTTTATTTCCCAATGCCGCCTCATGTCTGGACAAAAACTCGTCCAGATTTTAAACATTTCCTCTCTCCTTCACTTCCTCGTTCTTTCCCTCTGTGTTTCTTTCCCTCCTCCTCTAAATTGGGAACAAAACGATTCCATAATCTTCTTCAAAGGATAACTTTTTGATAGAATCAAAAACCAGCAAAGAGAAAACCGAGGGATTTTCTGGGCATTTAATTGATTTTCAATTTGGGCTCAAAGTTAGGATTTTTTACCCCCCTGTATTGCAAGAAGCTTCTGTTCTTTGTGAGGTAATCAGTTAAGATTCAGTGAATATTTTGTTTTTTATTATATCGTGAATTGTACTTTTTAACATTGATTTTGTTTCTATTGTTGTCCAAAATTTAAGCTTTTTAAGCTATATAGAAGTTTTATTTTTGTATTTGAAGCCTGTTTTGGGTATGGGAAATCAAACATTCAAGGGTTTTCTTAGTGTTTTCCTCTTGATTTTGATTCATTTTAAGCAAAGATTGTTGCTTTTCACTTCACTATTGGGTAAAGAGTTGTTATTTTGTGCTTTTTTCATGCGTTTTCTTTCTTCTACTGTTTTTGCTTTCAGACAAAATACAACGTTGAAATTTGAGGTTTAAGCTTTACTTCTGTTGCTTTTTTTTTTCCTCGTTTGATGTTTTTCCTTCTGCTTCATAACAAAATACAACGTTGAAAATCAATATTTAAGCTTTTGTTTTGTTCTGCTTTTTCCTCCTCGGATGTTCGTTTTTTAATTTTTTTTTACATGTTTTTATTTAAATTTTGGTTTTTTATCATTGTTGTGGGGTTTCTATTTTTGCAGAGGTGGCCATTGAAGGACTGTTAACTTCGTCATACTTCTGTTTTCGTGAGGCTCTCTTTAAAATGGAGTGAAGTTGACAATATCTGCAGTATCTTGAGTGTTTGTCCAAGGTACGTTTGCTTCCAATTGTATTTTCCTGTTAATTTCTTGGTGGATTTTGTTTCATTTGCCTTTCCTTATGTTTTAGGATGGTTCTTGTCATGGCAATACTATATGAATTATGAACAATGGTTTTCTAATATGACCGTGACATCAAATGTCACGCGTGACTCTAGTAATCACCAAATGTCACATCTGTGTAGAATTTTCGTTTTTGTTACTGTGTATGCCCAAGTATAGATGTTGACAGTAATTCTTTTAATTTTGATTGGAGTGAAAACTTAGTTTTTGTGTCTACTTTTCAAAATTGGGAATTTTTAATTTTTTTTTTATAAATATTAACTTTAAGAATGTTTGTACAATCATAAGTAATGTTATATACTTATTATTATGTAAGAAATATGAGGAAAAAAAATCGAGATGGACAGTTGTGGACTAAGACTAATGGAAGCTCTTGTAGAAGTAATATTTGAATAGAGCTTTTGTAGAAAAACAATTTGTGCTGAATCTTGAAGGCATAAAGCTTTTAAAAATCAATAAAAATCATTAAATTCTGGTGTTTAACGGGAAAAGATCTACCTCAAAAGGAAACTATTTGGTGTTTCAGCTTCCAGAGAGAAGTTGCACAGTTTCTAAAAAATTCAGAAGACTTTTTTATATTATAAAATGGTGGACCAGCTTCAATTTTTGTGGTTGAGAAGATCTTTTTAGAAGCTTTACCAAGCTAAGGCTAATTTTGAAATTTTGAAAATGAATAAATTTCAACAAATTCAAAAGTTATTCAGTTAAATCTCTTTTGCAAAGGTTACAATGGTGTCTTATTAGGTTCAAGCTCCTTAGAAGCTAAAATTAGCACTAGCAGCACTTTTGATGAAAAGGTTAAATTATTGTTGAGCTAACTTTAAACTTTTGCATTGGAGAAACTGTTTTAAAAAAGTAGGCGATTGACGCAATGAAGCATAAAACAGGAAGAAAAAGAAAAGAAAAACAGAGGAAATGGGATTTTAGAATAGGAATGGAGGAAAATTAAGATATTTTGGTAATTGAAATGTAATTAAAATGTTATGAATGAAAAGATAAAAATACACTTAATGAATCAATACTTAAAAATTATTAAAAATATTTTAAAAAAATTTAACATTTAAAATATTAAAATATCTTAATTTTTATTTTTCTCTTTTAGAATATAACATTAAGAGCTTGTTATTCAGAAAATAGTTGGATAATTTTTATGCAAAGATGATAGTGTTCACATTTGCCAATTGGGACAAAGTGAGTGAGGTTTGACTGTTAGCCCAATTCACTCCAATCTCAATAAATCTAAATGCTTCAGAAATCTAATGGCTATTAAAGCATAACTGGCAACTTTTCAGGGCGTTGAGAGTGGGTCAGATTTTGTTTCTGATAGTGATTCAGGAATCATGAGTTGTAAGAATAGGAAATAAAAGAAAAAAACAAAAGGGTCTTTTTGCATGCAGGGCACTCATTGGAGGGCCACGTGAATTTGCAAAAAGATCAAGGATATGCACTAAAACCATCCAAAATCAGATGTTCACTATGGTGGGACCTCAATTAGCCCAAGAAAATTTTCTGTCATTGTTGTGGATTCCCAATCAATCTAGGGGTCTTTTTAGGGGTAGAATTAAAATTTAGTGATGCAAAGACCTGGAAGAATCCTATGAGGTGTGAACCAGCAAGCCTCCAACTCATCAGTTGTTCTGATAGACGTTTTTGCGGTGGAGAGGATTGGGTTTTTTTTTTTTTCAGTATCTTTTGAGAGAATAATAAATTTGTTTGGGTAAAGGTTTTATGGTATTTATATTATTCTGGGGTCAAATCAAGGCTATAAAGCCAGGTGGGGAGAAAAAAAAAATCTCCTCAGATTTCCATGCTTGAAAATTGTGTTTGATTTTTTTTTTTTATTTGTCTAATTTATGGGTATATTAAATATAATTTTTTGTTATAAATTTTTATTAAAAAATAAAAATTAATTTTTAATTTATTAATTATCTAATTAAATTTACTGATCTCGACACTAAAATTAATATTAATTTTTATATTTTTGTGTATTTATAATAAAAAATACTCTTAAAATACCTTCTCTTTTTTTATTTTTTTAATTTTGGGTTTATGGGAACCTTGTGTTGATTGGTGTGATGAGGATTCCTCATAATCTTTTAAATTTATGGTTTAATCCTTTTTGACTAAACTCAATGAATTTCTTCCACTGAAATTTATTCATGATTTATGAATCCTCTAATAGAACCGAATTTTTAATTTAAAAGCGTAGTTTTTCGGAGAATATAGTCATTAAAAGTGAAAAATATAATAAAACATGGAAATTAGAGGGAAAATTTTTGTTGAATGTAATAATTTTTTTAAATATTTTTAATAATTTTTAAATATTGATTCATTAAGTGTATTTTTATCTTTTTATTCATAACATTTTAATTACATTTCAATTACCAATCGGCATGAAATGTAATAAATTATTTTGTTCTCTCCTTGGGGCTAGAAATGTATTAAATCCATTTTATTTTTAGGGAAGTGGGTTATTCTGTAGGGAATATTGAATATTATGCATATCTTGACCCCTTTAGGAACACGACAACAAATATAAAAAGATACATGAGGCAAGTTTCCTGAGGTGTTTCCTTCCCCTCAATTCTTCACCATTAGATTCTTTTTCTGAAAAGAATATGGTTTTTTTTTTTTTGGGTATAAATTAAAAGTGTAATAAATATATTTTTTATAAAATATTTTTAGATTTTATTTTTAGAATATAAGTTAAGGGTATGATAAATGTATTTTTTTATAATGAATTTATATAAAAATTTATAAAAGTTGATTTTAAATTAATTAATTAATTAATTAAAATTATTTGTGTCAATAATATTAAAATAAATATCAATTTTTATAATTTTTTATGTAAATTAATTATAAAAAATATATTTATTGTATTCTTAATTTATATTCTTGAAACATAAACTAGGTAAATTATTTTTTTATAAATTTATATTAAAAAAATAAAAATTAACTTTTAATTTATAACCATTCAATTAAATGTATTAATTTATCACCGACACTAAAATTAATACTAAAATTATTTTTCTTTGTACATTTATAACAAAAAGTGTCTAAAAATACCCATGGAATATCTATGTGAAAGGACCTACTGTTGGGGAGACAGTCATTTAGAACTTCTAAACATTAAACGCGTCTTTTGAGCGTGTTCTTGAATCAAAGCAATCCAGTTTCTTCTCCTTCTTCTTCCTGTTCCTTTCTGTTCATCTTCTTGTATTTGCCGCGTTAAAATTCTGATTCTTTTTCGCTCTTTCAAAAGAAAGCAAACCGGAAAATCTTAAAGGAGAAAGAATAAACAAAAAGAAATTCCTTTCCTGTAATGACCTTGGTCTAAGTGTTTAAAGAAATTGCTTTTTCTCTTTTCCTCCAACACGTTCATCACTGTCATAATTATCCTGAGTATTTTTCCTGTGTTCCCACCCACCTCCCTTTTCTATATTCTCTTAGTTACTCCAGTTTGGTGTGAGTTAAAGTGTAATTCTCAAATCTTTGAATCATTGTTCTTATCATATTTGATACACTGTGCAGATGGAATCTGTGAAACCATCAGCTGTTAATCCATCCAAGAGTAAATTGGCACGTACCTTTGCGAAAGTTCTTCCCCTCCGTGTGTTAGCTGCAGGGGTTGCTCCTGATGATGGGGTTCAGAAGATTATGCCCCAAGGGAAGGTGAAGGATGGCCAGGGTGCCAATAAAACTACGAAGTCTGTGTCTCAGACATTTAACAAACTTGATGAAGAGCTTGAAAGACGATTGGCCGCGGAAGCACTTGTTGCAAAACTTTTTGCTATCATTTCAGCAGTCAAAGCAGCGTATGCCCAGTTGCAGTATGCTCAGTCTCCTTATGATGCTGATGGGATTCAAGCTGCTGACCAATTGATAGTTTCAGAGTTGAAGGCTTTGTCGGAGTTGAAGCAGTGTTTCGTGAAGAAACAATATGATCCTTCACCGGAGCATACAATTCTTTTAGCAGAAATTCAGGAGCAGAGAAGTCTTCTGAAGACGTTTGAAATTATGGGAAGAAAGTTGGAGTCTCAGCTGAAGCTCAAGGAGTCCGAGGTTATATTCCTTAAAGAGAAGTTGGAAGAAACTAATAAGCAAAACAAGTTGCTAGACAAGAGACTAAATCAAAGTGGCCAATTATCTGTGCTTGAAAATCTTCACATATCAGGATTGAGTCCCAGCCATTTCATTACATTTCTTCAGTATGCAGTTAAGTCCATGCACGGTTTTGTGAGGCTGATGATTGATGAGATGAAGTCTGCCGATTGGGATACCGATGCTGCTGCCGGTTCAATAGAACATGGTGTGGTTTACTGGAAAGCAGATGATAAATGTTTCACATTCCAGTCTTTTGTTTGCAGGGAGATGTTCAGTGACTTCCATTGCCCTTTCTTCTCTCTTCAAAGTGACTTTTTTCTGGAGAAAAAGAATCAGCGGCAAGTATTCTTCGAGAGATTCATGGAACTAAAGTCCATTAAAGTGAAGGAATATCTTACTAAGAAGCCCAGATCAACATTTGCAAAGTTTTGCCGTACTAGGTACTTGAGACTTGTTCACCCAAAGATGGAAGCATCATTTTTTGGCGACTTGAACGTCAGAAACAAAGTGACCTCTCATGAATTTCCAGACTCAAGCTTCTTTGCCTCATTTGCGGAAATGGCAAGGCGGGTTTGGCTCCTACACTGCTTAGCATTTGCTTTTGAGCCGGAGGCATCAATCTTCCAAGTAACCAAGGGATGTAGATTCTCTGAAGTATTCATGGAAAGTGTAACAGATGATGCATTCCTTTCAACCAATATCCCTCTCGAATCTGAGCCACGCGTAGCATTTACTGTTGTTCCCGGGTTCAGGATTGGTAAAACAATCATACAATGCCAGGTCTATCTCTCCCACATCCATCTCAAGGCAAACCATTAATCATACATCATACACTTAGTTGAGTTGGATGCCATTATCATGATTTTTTTGAGTAAATTCGACGACACAGAATGGTTTGCGTGGTTGACATGTCATGTGTTGTGGGGAGCTGAAACACGGTTAGCCCGTCCATCTTGTCTCTTTGTTTTTTATGCCCTTTTCGAGTAGAAAAAAGGTTCCAAGGACCCCTTTGTTTCCTCTAAGAGACAATCTCCCCAAATTTTGGCCATGATCAATGTTTAGCTGTTCTGCATTATTATTACACTATGCTATATGTCTTCATATGTAAATTATTATAGGTTGGAGAAATTTTATACACCATCTATTTCACATTATTAGTCGTTCTAGCTAATTTCATGGGGATTAAGGAAATCAATGAATTACTCTTAATTTCAGGTGCAAGTGCATTTAAAATACAATCGTATCCTTCTTTGTTAACCTAATTTCCTAACGCTTTACCATTTATTACCTACTAATTCTTTTTTTTTTTTTCTTT